TGAAAGCTCAGTGTCTACTCCACACTGAAAATCAAGGCTTCAGGCATGATTAGATCAAGCAGAGTCATTTGTAGTTTGTCTCTCTCCACACCTCTCAGCCCTGCTCTCTTCTGTGCTGGTGGTTTCTGCAGATGTCTTGACATTGAGACTAACTGAGCTGATTAGGTCACAGGTTGACCCCTGAACTGTGGACTCTTCTGATTAGCCAGACCTGGGTCCTGTGCTCATTACCAGTTTCCAAATTCAGGCAGCTGTGACTTGTGAGTCCTCTGAATGTCCTCGTCTTGATCCTGCTGTTTGGGGATCATGCTCTTGTCAGAGGACCTCACCCAATCACATGGATCAAGGCCTTAGGGAGGTGGTTGGGGACTCACATGCACCCTGGACCCATCTGTAGCACAAATTGCTGTGGACCCTGTCACCAGGAGTTGACACCCTCTGGCCACCACTCCAAAGGAGACTGAAAGCAGGAGAGGGGAGGCAGGGCAGAACTGCTCACCCTAGGAGGAGTGGATGTCTGACCCAAATGTGGCAGATGCCAGGAGCACCAGAAAAGCCCCACTTGTTCCAAAGAGAACTCCCCATCTCCTGGCTGATACCTGAAATTCTACCCCAACTGTCTTGCTTTCACTTTAAGCTCTTGTTAATAAACAAATATCCTTGAGAGTGGAAACACTTTATGTTTTTAATCAGCATTCTTGGTACAAAGGATTGAAACGAAGGTTTTGATAACAAGAGGGAATGAAATTTTCAGGGTTCTGGGAGTCAGGGGTCAAGGAATAAATGGGGTGGGAGGTGAGAAATGACACAGAGCATGAAAGAATCTGCCACTTTCCAGCATGTCTGTGGCTGGAGCTGGATGGGACAAGGATTTGGGATGCAGGTAGGTGACATGGTGTGTTACTGAGTTGAAGTGACAGCTGAGAGAAAGCAAGAAGGAAGGAAGCCCAGTGGGTGGTGATGGCATCATGGAAGAGCGTTTTAACCATTTTCTAAATGTATAGGCCAGTGGCATTAAGTATATTCACTTTGTTGTGCAAACATCATCACTATCCATCTCCAAAACTTTTTCATCATCCCAAACTGAAACTATGTATCCATTATAGAATAACTCACCATTTCTCCCTTTCTTAGCACCTGGTAGCTACTGTTATACTTTCTGCATCTATGAATTTGACTGTTACAGAATGTGATATAAGTGGACTCATAATGTGTCATCCTTCTGTATCTGGCTTACTTCACTTAGCATAATGCCTTCAACCATTCATCCATGTGTAACGTATCAGAATTTCATTTCTTTTTAAGGCTGAATAACATTCCGTTGTATGTATATGCCACATTTTGTTCATCTATTCACTTGTCAATGAATACTAGGTTGTTACTAGCTTTTGGCTATTGTGAAGAATGCTGCTGTGAACATGGGTGTACTGTTAAAGTCCCTGCTTTTCTTCATTTGTGTATATACCCAGAAGTGGGAATTGCTGGATCATATGGTAATGCTATGTTTAACTTTTCGAAGAACTGCTATACTGTTTTCCACAGTGACTGTACCATTTTACATTCTCAACAGCAATGCACCAGGTTTCCAGTTTCTTTACATCCTTAGCAACACTTGGTTTTCTGTTTCCCCCCTCCTTGTTTCAAAAATAATAGTCTTCTTAATGGAATGTGAGGTAGTATCTCATTGTGATTTTGATTAGCTCCTCAATGATTAGTGATGTTGAGTATCTTTTCTTGTACTTGATGATCATTTGTATATCTTCTTTGGAGAGATGTCTGTTCAAGCCCTGTGCCTATATTTGAATTGAGTTGTTGGGTTGTTTTGTTCTTGTTGAGTTATAGAAGTTCTTTATATATTCTGGGTATTAATCTATTATCCTATATGTGATTTGCAAATATTTTCTCACCATTGAGTATGATGTTAACTGTGGGGTTTTTAATACATGGCCTCTATTATGTTGGGGTAGTTTTCTTCTATTCCTAGGTTTTGTTTTTTTTAGTGTTTTATCATGAAAGGATGTTAAATTTTGGCAAATTACTTTCCTGCATCAATTGAGATGATCATTTTCCCCTCTTCATTCCATTAATAGTTTGCATTACATGATTTTTGTATGTTGAACTATCCTTGAATTTCAGGAATAAGTCTTACTTGGTCATGGTGTATAATCCTTTAAAAATTTGAATAAATTAAGTTTTCTATTACTTTGTTGGAAATTTTTGCCTCAATATTCATAAGAAGTATTGGTCTTTAGTTTTCTTTTTTTAAGTATCTTTGCCTGGCTTTGGTATCAAGGTAATGTTGTGCTTATAGAATAATTTAGGGCTTATTCCTTCTTCAGTTTCTTGAATGAGTTTGAGAAAGATTGGTGTTTGTTCTTTTTTAAATGTTTGACAGAATTCCCCAGTGAAACCATCTGGTCTAGGACTTTTCTTTGTTGGGCAGTTTTTTTGTTTTTCTGTTTTTTTTTTTTTTTTTTTTTACTGTTGATTCAGTTTTCTTACTATAGTTCTATTCAGATTTTCTATTTCTTCATGATTCAGTTTTGGTAGTTTTTTTTCTAGGAATTTTTCCATTTCATCTAGGTTATTCAATTTTTTATCATACAATTGTTCATAGTACTCTCTTAGGCTATATTTTAATTTCTGTAGGACTAGTAGTAATGTCCCACCACAAATAATTTTTTTTAGTGGTTTATTTTTTTTTAACATTTTTTATTGATTTATAATCATTTTACAATGTTGTGTCAACATAAATAATTTTTTGAACACATACCTTCTGTGTGCAAGGCATATTGTGTTAGGTTTTGGAGCCCTATCTCTGAGTAAGACCCCATGTCATCACAGAGCTTACAGTCCAGTGAATTCAAAATGTGATTTAGAGACTAAAGTTGGATAACCTTCCACTTTCAGAATTATATTAACTATATTCTAATTATATTAACTATACACATTCAAAATTATAATAACTAACAATTTAAGATATTGATTCCCAAGCCTCAGTCAGTGAAAGAAAGCCCTTAATGATACAGTTTTATCAGCCCTTACTTTTTGTTACTACTGTATTCTTGCCAAAGATCCCTTGTCTCAAAGTATGTGTGGCAGACAATCTTGGAGACAGGAACAACTAGCAACAGTCACTCTAGTCCCACATTACTCTTTTTACCATACATGCTTAAATTCAGGCATGGGGATGGGACTCTGTTTTCCTTTTTATTCAAATATGATATCTGTACTATAGAGGGCATGAAGTTCACTAGTTTGATGGGTTTTTACATATGTCTAGACCTGTGTAGCCACCAGTAGATCAATATAAAATATTGCCATTGTGCATTGCTAGTGTATATGAGACATGAGAAGATTTAGACTCAAAATCTCAGTCTAGCAGCAGTGTAGAGTAAGGAGGGTAAGACGGGCTCTGAGCCTTAGCTGGAGAAAGCATCCAAAAATTCTGCTGACTCTGCCAGGAATGGCTCAGATACTCACATATTCTGCAAAATCAGCTTTGGTCTGAGCCCTCCAACAAACTCTACTTGCGCGCGCGCGCACACACACACACACACACGCACACACACACGCACACACATGCACATACACACATTCATTCATTCAGCATGGAATTTTCAGCTTCTGACTTGGTGGAGTATCCAAAGATAAAGAAATCACTGTCCCTGCCCTTCTAGAGAAGAGCCAGTGTTGCTGCAGCCAAAGGCCCCAGGGCTCACCTTCTGACTTTTCAGACATGGTTGGCAGCAGCTGCTGTACTCCTTATACACTTTTTTACTCCTCAGAAAATCCTAGCTCTGCTCTCTCGCTCGGTGTCATGGTCATCACTTACTCACCTGAAGTTAGGTCAGGCCTGGGGGTCATCTCTACTCTAACCATCTTGTTCTACTCCTACTTCTTCAGCTGTGGCTTCTAGAGCTGCCGGTTTTCTTCTGTGTTCCAGGAATTAGGCCCAGTGATGTGGGATCTGAAGGCTTTAGGCTAGTCAGCCTGGAGAGAACACCATTAGGGGGTTAGTTGATTACTAATCTCAGCACTGTAGAGAGTGATTTTATAAGAAGGAAGTGGACTGATTGTTCGTGATCTGTGAAGGAAACAGTAAGATAGGCTCAGGTTAAGAACAGAAAGATGGTATTTGGAATGTAGAAAGAAAGTCCATAGAGTGGCCAGGATGACGCCAGGGGACAGCCTGCAGCCCAGCAGAGAGTTTCATGGTTCTCCTGACTTCAGGTGATGGGTGGGGCTGGGCTGGTGTTCTGATCCCACTTACTCAATGGAGTTCCATGATTCTATGATGTCAGTGAAGAGAGAAGAATGGGGAGCTGGGCTCAGTTCCAGCTGCTCCAATTTCTCTCTCCTCTGAATTCTCATAGTTTTTGGGGTGAGGGGAGGTAAGCTGAGTCCGACGTGTCCCAGCTCAGTCTCCCCTCTAGCCACCTCAGCCCCCACCACATTTATGGAGAGAAATTAACCATTGTGAGTCCACGTCACCAAAACAAGCAGAGCATCTTTTATGAAGCTCATCAAAAGAACAACAATGAAAACATCCTTTTATTCTTCTGTTTCTAGAAAACTTAAAGAACAAGAGAACTACATTCAAACTGAGCTGGAAAAGTATATTTGGACAGTCTATGACTGTGAGAGTGGACGAGTCTCCTAGCTACCCTATGAGCTTTGAAACCACAGCATTCACTTTCTTCATCATCCTTCTAATTTGCCTCAGTTGCATCTTCTTTTTATTGGTGGTTTTTTTATATAAATGGTATAAATCCATGCTGATAAATTGGGATCAGCTTTCAAGTCACACTAGCAAATGTATCTAGAAATAATATAAAACATTTTAAAATAGAGCAAATAATAATGCTGTAGCTATCTGTTTTTTCCATTTCAGGGTTTTAGAAATGATAATTTCCTGTTTAAAAATGAAGTTCCATTTCAAGCCTTAACATTAAGACCATTCTTCCTTTTCTGAATTTTTTGATTATATTTTCAGTACCCAAAACGGGGAAGATGAACAGACAGAGAAAGGTCCTTGTACAGATGCTAATGGAGGTGAAGGTTGTACAGCTGCTAATATGGAGGTGGACAATTTAGGAGACCAAGAAAAGTAAGTCTGTACCTTAGCATGTGGTAGAATGCCATTTCTGTGTGTGATAATGGTGGCTAAGATGCATGAATTTTTAAAACCTTGCTGATTGATTTTATAGGCCTCCTGTACCCATGAGGCCTGGCATTCTTGTCCAGAGACAGAGTAAAGAGGTGGTGGCCATACCCTTAGGAAATGGAGAGGATGTGGAGGATGAAGAAGAAGACAAAATAAAAGAGAAGCAAAAGCCCGAGACTGCTGGCGAAAACGGTCAGGAGGTGATGATGGGCTTTTCTACTCTCAAGGGGCAGCTTAGAATTTGTCTGATTGAAGAGGAGGTAAATGCCTTGGCTAGGTATAATGAAAGGTGGTCTTGTCTGTAACTTAGGTTTGTGTCTGGAAAGGAGTACAGTGTCCACAGTCATTTAAACCATATTCTAGCCTGTTGGTTCATGTTATTAAACAGATTACACATGCCGCTCCTGGACACATGCCCCATCTTCATTCTTACATTTGTGTTTGTCTTAATAGTTCCCCTTCACTTTGCTTCACTCAGAATCCTAAAATCTTAGAGGTGGAAGAGACCTTGGAGATCACTTAGGGGGATCCAACTCTCTCATGAATTGTTCAAAGTTACTCCCCCACCAAGGCTGAACTCAAGACCAGACCCCATGTACCTGCTCTATTTCTATTCCTTCTACAACAGCATGTAAACATTGGCAGGGCCTTCCTGATCTCCATGTTTGGAGCTCCCTAATAAGAACAACTCACATGCCCCAGGACCAGTAGGAGACAGAATGATGGTCCAGGTGGCTCTTGGGTTTGATTGCTTCATAGAGAGAATAACACATCACCAAATGCTATTTGAATAGAGCAGCGTATGCTTTTGTAACCATACGAATCTGAATTAGATCATGATGGTCTTTCATGCTTTCCTCTATCATTTAGAAATACCTTTGCTGTTTCTCACTAAAAATGTACATAAAACCTATAGTTTTAAAAGCAGGGCTTGTTGCGTTCATAAATTTATCACTTTAGACCGTTTGTCCCGTTCTCTTGCAGGATGACTATTTGCAAAAACCACCCATCCCTGTCACTGGAAGTCCTTCAGCTATTGGTAACCACAAAAGACCCTTAAAAGGAGTGACATTTTCTAGGGAGGTAATTGTTGTGGACCTTGGGAAGGACAACCCTGTAGCTCGAAGCTATACTCGATTACATAAAGAGAGAAAATGAAGCTCAGAAAACACTGAGAGTGAAAGAAATGTAACCTTAGACTAACAGTGAAGTGACTGGGGTACAGAATCACGTTGAAACAGCAAAATAATGAGGAATTAAACAAATTCAGATAGTATTTTACCTTTGTGCAGAAAGAAGTGGACTATGTGCAAAATTCTGTAAGTAAAATATCCAGAGCTTGAATATAGATTTTTAAAAAGTCAAATCTGAGTTCAAGAAGTTAATTGTATTAAGTGTCCTTAAAATTCTGTCTACTCAAACACTGTCATAACATGTGAATAAAGTTATTTGTGTTTGTGCAGATGTCTTTTAGGTAAATCATGTTCAAGGGGGACTTTGGCAACAGTACAGGTTCTTGATGCTTTGATCACAGGCATTTATGACCAAATAGTATTACCGCTGTCATCATGGAAACTTCCAATAGCTGGGACTAGGGCCTCCTACTACGCAGTTCCCTTTGAACTCAGTCCTGAAACTTTCTTGTACTGATGGCTGCTTTTTAAGATTGACACCAAAACAACTACCATCAGCAACAAACTGCCTGTTACTTTAGGCAAATCCTGAGATGATACTTTTCTTGATTTCAGTAGTTTAAAATTTGTTTTTCATGTGTGGACTATGACAGTACAGACCAGTACAGCATTTGTAAAATGTGTAAGGGGCTATGAGAGAGATAAAAAGCAGAAAACATAGCATTTGATTCAGGAGCCTCGCACATTGTCCTGTGTGCAGCATACACTTAATAAATGTTTGTTGAATGATTAGGGGAATAAGTGATAAAATAATTTAGAATGTGTGCCTGACGCTAACTCGGGAGTGTTGATGCCCTTTGTAGGGGAGAAGTCCCTGTGGTCTGGAACCGTTCCACTGTGGGGCAGAGAAGGGACTTAATGGAATGGAAGGATTGGCTAAGACAAGCAGAGGGAAGAGTGTCTTTCAGATGGCCACAGGCACAAGCCAAGGCAAAGAGGTGAGAGTGTGTACTGAGTTTGGTGGACACCAGTTAGCTGGAGCCAGGTTGGTGCTGAGGAGCGTTGAGATATAACAGTGAAGTGCAGTGAGGAGTCAGAGTAAGGTGAGTCTCAGGATCCCAGGCTAGAGGTATGGAGTGGAAGATGGGGTAAAGCCATGGGACTGCAGGGGAGGGGTTTACAGAAGTATTCATTCAGAGCCCATGAGATGTCTACAAGCACTTAAAATCCCAATCTTTCTCCTGATGGTAACATT